AAGTAAACAGTTTCATAATTTCATTCCAATTATAGATGGAAATTACAAGGACATTTTGAACTCACCTTATGCATTTTGTAAGTCTCGAATGGCTAAAAATATGTATGCAAGTCTAATAATATTTTCCCACGTAAGAATAGTGTTCCGGGTTTGCATGTGAGTGGTGGTTGTCGGCACTAGAAGCTGATGAGAATAGTGGGAACATATGTAGGAAAAAGTGTATTGTAGGTTTTCTTTTAAAATTTTTTTTGGAGAATTTATCTAAAAATTCAATTTCTAATTAATATTTTCAAAAATTAACTGTTAAATAAAAAATTTTATTTATATAAAAATCATACATGTCAATTCTTAAATTCTTATAGTAAGTCTAACTATTTTTTGATTATGAAAACTTTAACAACGGTAAATATATAAAAGTAAATAGAGTTTTTTTTATTAAATAGTTATAAGTGTTAGGTCAATATAAAAATTAAGATGTATAATTTACATGAATAAAATTTTCAATTTAACAATTTGCTTTTGAAAATATTAATTAGAAGGACAAGATACCAACACTATTGTCATATATATATATATATATATATATGTGTATGTGTCTATATATATATATATAGAAAGAGAAAAAATGTGCAAGTGAGAATGTCAACTTTGTACCTGTTTCTATTTAAAGATGTTAATTTCATTAGTATTTACACCCAATTTTGCTAGGTTTTAAATAAAAATACCAACTTTTAACTTTTTCCTATCTAAGGATATCAATTTTTAACCTTTTTTTTTATTTAAGAATACTAATTTTTAATTTTTTTCAATTTAAGAATTAACTAGATGGTGATACTGACATGATAAATAAATTTTTTAACTGAAATGTTAAAAGTTAATATTCTTAAAAAATTAAAAGTTAACATTCTTAAATTAAAAAAATTAAAATTGACATTTTTATTTAAAAATTGACAAATTTAACACCCTTAAATAAAAAATAAAATAAAATTGACATCTTTATTTACAACTCATATATATATAGAGAGAGAGAGAGAGAGAGGTTTTTCATTTTGTTCAAGATACTGATTTATACTTTTCATTTTTGTTATTCTTTAAGTCTAGTTACAAATTTGGAGGAACTTAACAGTCCCATGATTTTGAAAAGGATCATAATTGGTATACACTCATTCATATCACACTGCCGTTACACATTCTTTTTCCCGTTAGCTCTCACATTCCGTTAGTCTCCATTTCACTCTCACCATGTTCCCACCTTTTTCCTTTTTTTTTTTTTCTCCCGAGTTCTCTCCGAGAACCTAGGTCTAGGTTCTCCAAGAAGAACCCAAGTTGGGTTCTTTCGAAAAACAAAAAAAAAAAAACAAAAAAAAAAAAGAAAAAGAAAAAGAAAAAAAGAAGGTGGGAACCTGGGAAAAGCTAGCAATTGTTTGCAAATGATTAGGATAAGGATGGAGGTGAGGAGGAAGATGGATCTTATGAGGACGGAAAGGGTTGGGTGAGTTGAAAGATGGCTGAAGAGATGGTAACGGAATTAAATGTAATTAACGGCAAAATAACAAAAATTGAAGGGTGTAATGAAATGTGTAGTGCAGGAGTGTGCATGCATCCTTGTCCTTTTGAAAATATATAGTTTTTCATCCGCCTGAAGCGCAACTCTAACATCCGCTAGATTGGATGGAATCAACAATGTCCGTCTGAAGCATGCTTCCAATGCCCGCATGAAGCATGCTTCTAAGTCGCATTTACTCAGTTGAAAAGCTCACATGAAATTTCAACTTCAATAGAAGGCTATTGCTGGCCGAGGGGAAAAATAAAACCGTCTTTTTCCACACTTCAACTTCATTGATGGCTGCTTCTTTTCCATCAGACCCTCATCACCAATGTTGGAATTATGACTTATTCTTGAGCTTCAGAGGTGAAGGCATCCGCAATAATTTTCTGGGTCATCTTTATTCTACTTTAAACCAGGTGGGATTGAGGACTTATAAAGATGACAACGAGCTCACAAGAGGAAGTGGCATTGTCCCTGTTGGAATAGGCCCAACAGGCCCAACACTCAAACAGAGCTATGCATAACGGGCCTAGGTTACCACTTATTAGCCCAAGCTGAGGGTGCGTCAGTATAAGCATACCCATGTGACCAGCGCCACGTGGGTTGAGGGGATGCTTACACGTGCAGATGTATGTCAGCACCAGGGGGCTATAAATACCCCCCAACTACCTCCGATGAAGGTAATTAATCTCTACACTTCTCTCTCTGCAATTACTCCCTGAGAGCATCTCTCTTTAGAGTACTGAGTATTGCTGACTTGAGCGTCGGAGTGTTTTCCCCGAGGAAACAACCTCGGGATTTTCAGGTGTAGAAGCAACTGAGGACTTCAACAGTGTTGGACTGCGAAGCTGCCGAAACATTGGCGCCGTCTGTGGGAAGTACCAGTTCGAGCACTAGGGATGATGGTGGCGACCATCCTATTGCGTCTTCTAGCAGCTTGTTTACTGAAGAGACACCCAGCCGTGAAGAAGGGATGGGAGATGTGGTGAGCAGTGTCTCAGATCGGCTGGTGGTTGGGGAATGGGAAGGCATGACAATCCCGAGCAGGTTGAGTAACCTACGAAAAGCACCGAAGGACCTGCCTGCTGGATTCAGGTTCAAGGCTGTACTTCATCACAAAGTAGCAAACTGTGTGCCCTCCATAAGTGGGTATAAAAGACTCGAAGAGATGGTGAGGGCGTACCACATCCCCAAGACCATATTGCTGCCGACAGGCGGGCAGAATGAAAGGGCGTGCATAGTGTCGCAAACGGGTTGGATACCAGTGTACGCGGACCACTTTGACGCCGGCCTGCGGTTTCCCTTGCCCGGCCTGATATTCGATCTGCTCGCAGATTACGAGCTGGCGCTGACGCAGCTAACGCCCAACAGCATAAGGTTCATCATAGGCTTTATGCTGTTGTGCGCGAGATTGGAGGTGCCAGCTAAAGCGATAGTGTTCAGGTCGCTATTCCAGTGCCGGTTGTGTCCGAACTCACGAGGAGCGAAGTGGTACTACCTCTCTGGGAGGGATAAGAGCCAGCTCTTCAAAAATGTGAGGAACAAGGTGGCGAGGTGGAAGAGACAGTTTATTTTTGTTCGCGACACACGAGCAGAAAGGATAAGCAACGACCTCGCTGCCCGGCTGTCTGAGTGGCGCACCCCCAACGCTCATATTAACTATCCTCAGCTACTGCCCCGGGATGTCGATATGAAGAACTAGCTGCTTGAGTATGCGCAGAGGGAGGGTCTAATAGATCTAGAAGCCCTGGTTACCTCGAAGCATCTCGCCGTGTTCGGATTTGTCGATGTGACAAACCTGTTCAGTGAAGGTATATTTTTATCATATAGTACTAATTCTAGCCGGGTTGAGTCTTATGCGTTTTTCTGTGCATGAGACATGAGCAGCATCTTGGAACGCCAACGACAGCGAGCCCAAGGCTCACGAGGTCGTGCGTCGCGCAGCGCGCAACCCAGGCAGACAAGGTTTGACGAGCGGCCACCCCCGGCGCCTCAATCACGCGGCTCATCTCACCGGGGATCCAGCTCGTCGTCAAGGCCACGAGCCGATCACAGGGCTGAGGTTACGGCCCCTGGTGCACGCAGACGTGCACGTGAGGAGATAGAGAGCGAGGAGGATGAGGTCCCCCTTGCTCGGTGCAGAATAAGAGGGGGGACCCAGCCCGCGCAGGCGGCGCGTCCAACAACCGTGCGTTCACCCGCTGCACCGCCAGCGACTGCGCGGGCAGTAAACGATCTACACTTGTGCCCTATACTGTCACATCAGCTCGCCATTGCGAGCACACCTACCAAGTCGTTACAAAGATGACATATTCGCCAGATCGGCTCAACCGTGCCAGTTCGTTCACAAGTGTAGATCGTTTACTGAAATCCCCCTAGATTCAGCTCGTCACATATCGTGACAACAACCACATTTGTCAGGTCGTTACACGGATTGCAGCTCACACCAGGCCGCAATAAATCAATGGGTGCCTGAGGTCGCCCTATTTGACAGCACTACTCGTGCGAGCTGATAAAGTGGTGGTCTAAAACCTCAAGTCGCACTGCATGTGGGGTCGCGTCGCCTCACCTCGTAATCATAGCTAGCTGAGCGTCACCTGGTCACACTTCGGTAGTACTCAAAGGTCAGGTCGCCACATGGACAAGCTGAAAGAGGGTTATATACATGGCTGATCCCTGTGCGAGCTCGCCTCTTTTCGTATTACCTCTCAGCTCGGCCATCACCAAGGTCGGCCGTAAGCTGTTAAAGCTGCCCGTCATAGTCACCAGCTAGAACGTTGACCCACCGTCACATCCATCCCAGTTCGTCAACCGAACACCGAGGGGGGGGGGGAATAATGTTGGAATAGGACCAACAGGCCCAACACTCAAACAGAGCTATGCATAACGGGCCTAGGTTACCACTTATTAGCCCAAGCTGAGGGTGCGTCAGTACAAGCATACCCATGTGACCAGCGCCACGCGGGTTGAGGGGATGCTTACACGTGCAGATGTATGTCAGCACCAGGGGGCTATAAATACCCCCCAACTACCTCCGATGAATGTAATTAATCTCTACGTTTCTCTCTCTGCAATTACTCCTTGAGAGCATCTCTCTCTTGAATACTAAGTATTGCTGACTTGAGCGTCGGAGTGTTTTTCCCGAGGAAACAACCTCGGGATTTTCAGGTGTAGAAGCAGTTGAGGACTTCAACAGTGTTGGACTGCGAAGCTGCCGAAACAGTCCCCAACCTGCTAAAAGCCATCGAGCATTCTAGGATTGCGATTGTCGTGTTCTCCGAAAACTATACTGATCTGCATGGTGCCTGGACGAGCTCATGAAGATCCTCAATTGCAGGGACATGTTGGGGCAGATTGTTCTACCCTTTTTCTTCCATGTGGATACCTCAGATGTTCGCAAACAGAGGGGGAGCTTTGGCAAAGCATTTGCTCGTGCTCATCACCAGAAGGTTACCGTGGACAAAGTAGAAAAGTGGAAGACTGCTCTGACCAATGCTGCCAATCTCTCTGGATTTGATCTACAGAGTGTCAACGGGTAATCTAGTCATCTATTCCCTTGCTTGAATGATTATTTGGATAGATTTCTTCTTTTGTTGCTAAATTCATTCTCATTGTTTTTTAGTACTATTTTTTGAGCCATTTTGGACTAAAAAAACCTATTCTCATGCCTACAATTACTTACGGATTTGGTAGATGTAGCATAACATCCTTAAAGTGGACTTAAGTTGGATTCCAACTCTAATGTTTAATCCTTTTCACATCAACCAGGGATGAGTCTGAGTTGATCAAG